AACCCAACACAAAACAGTACATTGTTTTAACACCCAATATGCACATAGCACCTAAGTATGTAGCATACAGGAGCTGACTCAAGCATAAACAATTCATGGGCTTTTTTATTTCGTAAAACCAAAGCTTACAGGTTCTTAACTCAAAATCATTCAGAGAGACACCCATAAAAAGTGTATTAATAAAAACTGATTCTAATTTTTTTCAAACTTAAGGTACAACAAAAGATACCAAATGTTTACATTACAGTCTTGCCACCTTACACACATCATAAAAATTGAACACATCCAGTAACTTCAGACGTACCATTTTAAACATACCAGTAAGTGCTCCAGTCTTCTGTACCACACAATTTTATTTCAAATTCACATCTTTCTGGGCAATGTATCCAAAATATTTGACTCAAGTGTACGTTTAGACTGTAAATATCTTGAAACAGAGTCTTTCCCATCTCAAAAAACCCCATTAAATTTTAGCTCATGTTATAAAAAGTAACCATGTGGAATGTGACAATTGTGAAATCAAAGTGCTTTAGTCCCATAGCGCAGACAGACACGAGTGGTTATCTAGCCATTCCTCAGTATATCTCCGACACCAACAGAGGTGTTTGCTCTGTTGCACTCCACCTTGCAAAGACCTTTGGACCGTTGTGGTGAAATTTCATTAATTGACAGATGAACAGTATCAGTGGACCAACAATTTCACTCTGATACATCAAATAATGAGTTATAAATGAGGCATCTTTTTACTATTTTTCAAGTTCCCTTAATAATTACCAAAGTTCTACTGTATTATGCAAGATTATGTTCCAGTTAGTCTCTTCAAATCCAAGGTGTGCTATATTCAAAACCCTCAAATTATATCCCAGAACCCAACAGCTATCTAAAGCTCAGTATTTTTGTGCAATTCTTTGCTATTTGCATGTGAAGAGATAAACACTTCACCCACCAGCTTGTATGAAACAACTACAAACTCAAAACAGAAAAGCTACTTTAATAAGGTCTGGACATTGGTAGTTGTCTGGATTATGTTCTCAGTTGAGCTCACGTTGCAAGCATTCTGTTAGAAAACTTCCTTCCTAAAAAAGTCTAAAAAGCGATTTATCTTCCAGAGAGAAGGAAGTTTAAGACTTAGGGATTTAATTTTCTTTTCTGTTACAACAGGGCTAGGTCTACGCTATAATTTGTATGATTGGTCCCTCCCTCTGTTTCAGACACTCCATTGTTACACAGGTGTACAGCTTAAATGGGAAGGGCCAAGGGAAAATTTCTGGTCCCATCCCATAGATGTAAAGAAAGTGCTTTGCAAGACTGATTTTATCCATCGCATTTGTGGCAACAAACCCAAAATGAAGGCACGTGAAATCTATATCAATATAGCTTATAAGTTATAAACTAAAGCTGAATCTCTGTATAATTTCTAGTCTTTCTGCACAAAAGTAATGACCAGCACCTACACAGAGATTCAATTTTTTAAAATGTAACTTTTTCCAGAAATAGTGTGTCACTTGCATGCCTATGCAAACACTGTCATTTATTAGTTTTGACACAAAGTGCAGAAACAGGTAATTTATCTGCATGGGAAGTCTAAAGCCAATGCATTGGCAGCACTTCCTTCCCTGTTGCTACAAGAAATGCAAGCCACCAGCAAGAGCCACACGCAGCTGTTACCTTGAAAGTGCACAACTCCCAGCAGCAGTTCCCCTGTGAGGTGTTCTATAGCTTGTGGCATGCAGTTAACCAGAGTCTCAAATTTGGATTTTAACATGTCAAAGCCTATCTACTTTTGGTTAGCTACTGGCCAGACACGCACATGCATTCTAGGAAGCCAACTCGTATCATGCTTTGACAAATGTTGCATTTAAACAGGCCAAACCTCAACACTAAACACAGATGAGCTGCTACCTTGAGCAGCATTAAGGATCCAGGGTCAGCTCAGTATCTCAGTTTTTAAAGAAAGCTGAATATGGATACAAATTTGCCTGCTAGATTTCACTGGAATTGCTACATTTAAAGCAGAGAAACAAGATTCAAGGTTTCCGAAAGCTTTAGCAGACGGATAGGCTCGTCAATCAGATTAAGACTTACTAGGTTGTTAAACAACAGCTCAAAGCCTTGGTTATCATTTCTCTAGAAAAACAGGTTTAAAAGAACTCAAAAACCATTGCCATCACTTAACTAGATTATGATATGTAATTATACTGCTTCACTCAGAATGATAAAGAAGGATAGAGTTTCAGAATTCTAGTTTTTCACCCTGTGTGTGAATTCACACACCTTCCCTTTTTTCCCCCTCTTTTTTATTTTTCTCTCCATTTCTGCACAAAGCGAGTTGAAGGGACTGGCACACAAGTTACTAGTGAACGCAGACATGTACATGACCATATTAGAGTTTCATGAAGATTTCATGCAATGGTGTCTTGCTCTTTTATTCTAAAAGAGAACAACTTCCACAGGTAACACATACAACACAATTTTCTGATTTTAAATGCAGTGAGTTACACAAAGAATATTAATAGGAATTGACCAGACTTAATAACTGGAACTGCGCTAGGTCTGGCACTTGAGAATTCACAGTGATTAAAATAAAACTGCTTTGCCTAAGACAAAACATAAGATACCAAATATATAAAAACTCTTTGCTTCTATTATCTTGTATTAATATTCCAACAGCAATAAGCAAGCTCAGTAGTACCTCAGACAGCAGAGACTTCTGCACATAGTTGACTTTATTCATTGTTTGCAGTGCAATGATTTTTTTAAAAAATATATTCATGATGTCAAATCAGGCAATTTTCAATGCATAAAGTCAACACAGGCTCAAGTCTTTGATGGCTTGAAGCTTGGATTCTGACAGGAAACCATTCTCTACCATCTCATTTTGGGTACCCAACTCCACACTGTGCCAGGTGGTATTGCTGTTAAAGAGAAACTTAAGGTATACTTGCGTATTACTGAGGTGTTCTGGCAGCAAGTTGTTTGCCAGCATAGTACCAGGTGATAATACAAGAGTAAAGCATTTGCCCTTTTCTTTCCCCCTCAACTCTCTAATCCTAGCAGATCCACTAACACAGGATTATGATACTGAAGCCTGCTTTTAGAGAGAAAGGAGCACAGCTTTGAAACACCCCAGCGTTTCTCAGCCCATCCGCTGGCTCTCATTTCAGCACCGAGGGCCCAGCCAAAGCAGCTGCTCTCGGGAGCTGTGAGCTCCCAGAGCCCCGCTGACCCACTGGGCTCACTGACACCACCGATCTGAGAGTTAAAGCAAGATACTCAGGACTCATCTGGCTGGAGTCTACGAGTGTAGATGAGCACCCACTCGTACCTGCCTCACCTTCTGTGCTACACCTTAGGGCACTTTGGTCCATGCACCCACCTCCCAGACCTCCTGCTCCACGGCCTTATCCAAAGACATTGGACTTTGGCCTGAGCTTGAACGACGTTTTGAGGGATTTCTCCTCATGCTCTTCTTCCTCGGTGTCACCACGAAAGGAGGGCGTGTTGTGGATGATCTGAGTCCTGAAGCGGATCTTATTAAGCCGAGGCTTCATCCGTCCACTGCCGGAGGCTTTCCTCGTCATCTCCTTGCCCTTGCCCGGTACCGCTGCCCCGTCGGTGCCCTCAGCTTCCTCCCCAGTGCTGTGATGGTGGTGGGAGAGCCTGTAGCTCATGAGGTTGGACGGCAACACCTTGGACAGCCTCCAGCGCCCGCTCCCATTGCCAGCATTCCCTTCCTCCTCCTCCTCCTCCTCCTCCAGGGCCCCCACGAGGCTCCGCATGTCGCCCGAGGTGCTGCGGTGCAGGTACTGCGCAGCCTTGCGCCCGCTGTAGTCGCGGATGTCCACGTCGGCGTCGTAGGCACCCACGAGCAGCTTCACCACCTCGGCGTGGCCGTGCATGGCGGCGATGTGCAGCGCCGTGTGCCCGCCGCTCGTGCGGGCGTTGATGTCCACGGGCAGCCGATGCCGCTGGGCGAAGTTGACCAGCGTGGCCAGCAGCTCCTGCCGCCCGTGCTTGGCGGCCCAGTGCAGCACCGTGAAGCCGGTGATGAAGTCCCGCTTGCAGAGCAGCGCCGGCTCGCAGCTCAGCAGCCCCTCCAGGCTCTCCCACCGACCGTCCGAAGCCGACAGCATCCAGGCGTGTTCCAAGGGGTCCAGGGCCACGGCGCCGGTGGTGCTCCCCTCCTCTTCGGCGGAGGACGAAGCCACCGAGGCGCTGTCCGAGTCGCGGCCGCGGCCCCCGCCGGGGAGGGCGCCGCGCTTCAGCTGGGGGGAGCCGCCCCGCGCCCCCTCCCGCAGGTTCCGGCGGCCGCCGCTCTGCGCCGCCGCCCCGGGGGCACCTTCGGCCGCCGGCGCCTCCTCCGTCGGCGGGGGCCGCCCCGGGCCCTCCGCTACCGCGCTCTCCTCGCCACCGCCTCCGCCGCGCCCGGGCGGTGGCCCCCGGCGGGAGCCCCTCCGCTGCCCCCCGGCCACCGCCGTGCTTGGCCGGGCTGGCTCTCCCCGCCGCGCCGCGGGCTGCGGGCGGCTGCCGGCATCCTCGCCCGCTGCCGCCGGCGGCGGCGCCTCCTCAGCGCCCGCCCGCGGCGAGGGTGGCGGGCTGGACCGCTCCGCGCTGTTTCTGACCGCCGGCGGCGGCTCCTGCTCCCCGGAGGTCTCGGGGGCGGCGGGGGGCTCCGGGGCGCAGTACCGGCGGCGGAGGTGCACGTACTTGACTCCGGTGCCGGGCTCTTGGCGCACGGTGGCCACGGCGTTGACCAGCTCCTTGAAGCGGTTCCTGGCGGCGGCGCGCCGGGCGGGCTCCGCGGGGCTCAGCCACTCCCGGAAATGCTCCAGTAGCTCCGCGTTGCGCGCCCGCCCGCCCCGCGCCGCCAGGAACCGCACCACCGACTCCTGCCGCAACTCCGCCGGCTCCGCCATCGCCGCCGCTACCCCATCGCGCCGCGCCGCTCCTCCTGCTGCTGATGCCGGTGGTGGCGCGGGCGCGGCAGAACCGTCGCTGCCCTCGCCCCTCCTCCCGGTGGCTGCATGCCCAGCAATCACTGCCGCGGCAGAGGCATCGCGCCGCCCTCCGGCCGGGAGGCGCCCGCCACCACTGCCCGCCTCGGCGGCGGAGCCGGGACCGCGTCCCCGCCCCGCGCTCCTCCCCGCCGCGTGGCTCTCGCCCCTCGGCGGCAGCTCCGACCGCGCTTTTCCCTTCATCCCTGCTTCCCTCACTTTTTCCCTTCCTCGCCTGGTGAGGCGATGGCTGCGTCCGATGCCGGTCGGCACCCGGTAAGTCCCCTCCGGGATGTGGGGAGCGGCTGGTGAGCAGCCCCGTGAGCTGGGGGTCACCCCGGCGCGGCTGAGGGCACGGATGGGTCCGCCAGCGCCGGCATCGGGAGGGGAAGGAGAGCGGCGGTAAATCTGTGCCGGGAGGTGGAAGTGCCGCCCCAACTGAGCTGCCCTCGCCGCGGGGCACCGCGGTCTGCCCCGCATCCGTGTCGGGCTCTTGTGAGGGCCGCGTCAGGGCGGGGGTCGGGAGTGCGCGGAAAGTGGATCCTCCCTCCGCAATCCCGGAGCTGCCAGGCTTTTAGAACACTTGTTAAAGGAACTTGTTGGCAGACGTCACCCTTCTTAGCGCTTCTGCGGCGCATCGCATATTTCAAGTAATAAGTTGAGTCGTGCCTATTGAAGAGTTGGTTCTGCGTCATGGTAAAGCTGCCGGCTTTACCGTGCTCTGAGGACGTCGAACCCATCAGTGCTGCAGCGTTAGTTCCCTAATGCCCACACCTGTCCGTGGTTGTGGAAAACTCAGGGCGCTGAAATAGTCCCATTCGGAGTGCCCATGGGCATGTGAATGTGGTGATGTCCACCCTCGGGGCTGATGCCCAGGCATCCTTTCCCAGGGCTTTTGTGCAGCCTGCGTACCCGCCTGGGGCTGGCGGGACCCTCGCCTCCTGCCCCGGCACACGTCTGTTACTTTTTCTCAGGTTTTGGACGGCAAATTTCAGTCATCTCTACCAGCCCAGTGGAAAGCTAGCTTTTTACTTGGACTGCCAGTTTGGTTCTGCAGAGGCTTATGCAGAAAGATGCTTGTAGTCTTGAGACCCAGCTTTTGCTAGGGAATCGCCCAGTGTTGTGCAGTTTTAGTCAGAAATATGTGACAGATTTAAAAGATAACTAATTTTTTTAGTTTCTTTCTGCAAGAAAAAAATAAGTTTTAAATGTTAAGCTGTCGCAGGCAATGATTTGCCTTTGCATGCTGTTTGTAATGGGCAAGATGACTTGATATACACTGGAATACTTGATTAAATTATAGATTGGTTTGGGTGGGAAGGGATTTTAAAGATCATCTAGTTCCAACCCCCCTGCTGTGGACAGGGACACCTTCCACTACATCAGGTTGCTCAGAGCCACGTCCACTGTAATGAATCTGCAGAAATCCAGATGCATTAGCTGTGCTACCAGCCTTTTAAAAAGGGGGTGAGGGAAGGAGTGAGATGTAATTTAGACCATCTCAGGCTGTCTGTATTATGTGCTGTTTTGTTCAGAGTATCAGTTCTGAGGAAGCAGTGAGAAACAGGACGTATTTATGGGAATATTGCAGCATTACCGGCATCCAGATGATAAGGTTTGAGTTATTCACTGAATAAAATTGAATGAGATGCTGTCTTCAAGCATATTTAAACTGCACCATGCAACAGATACTAATTCAAAGAGACTGGCTAGTAAGGTAACTGAATTGCTTTCAGTATGATCTACAGTTCGTAATTTAGGGTTAGATTTCTTACTATAGGATAGTTTTAGATTAGATATTAGGAAGAAATACTTTACTGTGATGGTGGTGAGGCACTGGAATAGGTTGCCCAGAGAGCTGTGGATGCTTCATCCCTGGAAGTGTTCGAGGCCAGGTTGGAGCATCCATGGACTTGGAGCAACCTGGTCTAGTGGAAGATGTCCTTCTTTAGGTCTTAAGGGATCCCTTCTTAAGGGATCTTTAAGGTCCCTTCCAAATGAAACCATTCTATGATTCTATGATTTTTGAATTACCACCATTTTTCTAATCTGGCAATACACCAGTAACTTATTTTTCAACTACATGGTGTATTATTTCTTTGGGAAGTAGTAGTTGTTGACAGATTTTTTTGTTGTTTTTGTTTTCAGACTTTGGCTTTTCTTCGTTGCATGTAAATTGCAAGGAACCTGTTCGAGCTTACTAGTAGAGTTATTTTGTTGCGATTGCTAACTGCTTTGCAAATCGCTTAATTAACATATCTTTAAATTATTTTTCTGTAGCAAAATGATGACTGTCGAACTTTATCCTTGTCTGCGCATGTTGGGTTTGATAGTTTACCTGACCAGCTGATTAAGAAATCCATCAAGCAGGGCTTCTGTTTCAACATTCTTTGCATTGGTGAGTAGTATCTGGGTGCTTTAAGGCTTTAGTAATATACCTGTCCTTAGGAACTGAAGTAACTGAAGGTAACTGAAATTTAAATCCACTTGTGGTGTTAAATGGTTTCTTTAATGTTACGCATGAACTATAATTCTGCCCCTTCCCCCATCTTTGCTTATTTGTGTCCATTCTTTGGTTTTATATTTAGCATTTTTGTAAACAATATGAAGACCAAAAATGTTGAAAACCGATACCATGAGTTTATTGGTTTATCAGCATTTTTTGGATTCTTCTGAGTAAACTGGACTACACTTGTAACAAAGAGCTTCAGGTTAAAAATCCTAAAATTCCAAGGTGGTGTTACTGAATTGTTTTTATACTTATCAAATATTTGCTCTAGTTATTTTACCCTTATTCATAAAAACCCTTTGTTGAACCTTGTATTTTCACAGCTAGCTATGTAGCTTCTTAAAATCTGTAGGAAATTAGTTCATACTTTTAAAGAAATCAAAGTGTCAAGAGACTGTTCTGCTTATTACTCATTAGCTGGTAACTTACCCTAATATGTAGGATGAAAAAAATTAAGATATTTAGTGTTCGTTAAAGGAATGCATTTTGCTTGGAGGAGTCAGATGAGAAATTTTTGTGTAAATTTGTTGAGTTTCTGTGGTAGTACTTTCTATGCTTATTATGTATTGATGTGCAAAATGTCTTCCCCAACCCTTCTGTTTAACTTTAGGAGAAACTGGAATTGGGAAATCAGCCTTGATAAACAGTTTGTTTAACAGCAATTTTGAGGACCCTCCATCAACACACTTTCTGCCAAGTGTACAACTTAGAACCCAGACTTACAAACTTCAGGAAAGTAATGTTCTTTTGAAGCTGACCATTGTAAATACAGTGGGATTTGGTGACCAGATGAACAAAGGAGATAGGTAAGTGCCCTTGTGTCCCTATGTTATGCAGAAGTTTTGGTCTTAGTGTCAAGTTGACTTATCTTTGGGCTTTGTAGTAAGTATTTGGCTTATGTATGTTCTAAATATAACGTTAACTGTTTTTACTGTGTATCAAAGTAAACACGTTTTTCTTTTCATGTAGGAAATTCTTTCCTAAATCAGATGGAATCTGCCCCTTTACTTGTGATATATTCTTTTACAAATGTGTGTACGTACAACATGCAGTAGTTTCTTTTGGGGTGGAGGAAAGCAGTGAGGTCAAAGGGAGGCTTTTTAAACAGCCAAGCAGTTGATCATGTGCTGTAGATTGGAACGTGTTGAAGACCTTAAACTGGAAGTAACATCCTGTGGATTACTGAAGGCCTCTGTTCTTTATGTTGGATGGCTTTGTAGAGGTAGTGCACTAGTGTCTTTCAGAACTTTTTTAAGAGTCTCTGCTTTTATGAGTTGAAGATTTTACAGCACGGAGCTGTCTCAGCAGATTTTGTTTCTTTTACCCTAATTTAAAGAATTTATGCTATTTGAGTGCCTAAATGGTGGCAATAATAAACGAAGGCCAGAGAGTCATGTTAAGATTGTCATGAGAGCCATGGCTTATGGTATATGACTGGATTATAGCTACTGCTAGTGACTTGGATGAATGAGATGCAGGTACATGTTAATAGAGCTATTAGAGATTGTGATGTGTGGTACAGGAGCTGCCTTTTCGTTGTTCTTTTAGTTTTGTGTGTAACAGCTGCTTTTGAATTTTGATAACATCTGATCTGGTGTATAAACTTTGTGTAGCAGAAGAAATGTAAGGGTAGGCTGCTTTTACATCTAGCAACACTTCCTTTTTGAAAGCGGATTATAATCTGGTTTTAAGTAGGATAAAGTATACTTAGGCTGTACCTGCTCAGATTTACATTATTCTTCTGCATTTCTCATTTTCAGTTTTTATCTATTGTTTAAGAACTCTCTCATTATAGTATTTCAGAAGATAAAGTTCGTCCTGTTTTTTGATACTATTAGTTGCATATTTTTTCTTTTCTTGTATTGTACCTAAGAGGTTATTGTGTTTTTCTTATATCCAAGAGTTCTGCGTTTGCACAGCTTGATGGCAAAAATTTAAAAACATCACTTGGGAAGATCAGTTGTAATCATAATTAACTTTGTGTACCTTTTTTCACTAATGGTTACTAGGAAATGTTTTATCTGTATTAGATACATAATTCTTTTTTGAGTTGCTTTTCAGAAATTAGGATTAGTCTGTACGTTTAATTTTTTGCTCTGCTTTAGCAGCCTTTTGACATGTAAAGCAAAAATCCATAAAACAATGCAAGAGGAATTCCCTTTTTAGTTTGGCTTTGTTTAGGAGTAGCTAATCTCTGGTTTTAAAATTTTATTTCCTACAGCTATCAGCCAATAGCGGATTATATAGATGCACAATTTGAAGCCTATCTCCAGGAAGAACTGAAAATTGTACGTTCTTTATTTAGCTACCATGATACTCGCATCCATGTCTGCCTCTATTTCATCTCACCTACAGGCCGTTCCCTAAAAACCCTGGATTTGTTAACCATGAGAAACCTACACAGTAAGGTAAGACTTTGAAACAGAGTTCGAAGAGTTTGTCTTAATTTCTGAAGCATCTTGAAGCTTTCAGGTCCACTACCACCTTTCAGTTCTGTATCTGTGTGTTTGGTTTTGCAGTGTGTTGGTTTTTTGGGTGTCAGTGTACCTTAAGCTTGGAATTAATTGTCTCTGCAAGTAGCTTGCACTTCGTCACTTTTTTATTCACAAGTCAAAAGGAGAGAGACATCCAGCAAGAACATTGAAAAAAAGTACAACATGGTTTAAAAAAATAGTAAAAGAAGTAGAACCACACCAACTTTAAAACTGTAAACATCATATGGAGACTGGATAGGGTACCTTCCATGAGTGTTGTGGTATTTCTAATTAAGCTTGTTTGGAGTTCTGGGGCTGCTGGAACATTTGCAAATAAAAGGCTTTCCAGTGCTATGAAGATCTTTGTTATAGATAACTGAAGAGGCATGTGCCATGAACAGATCACTCTGCAATTGTGGCTTTTTCAAAGATAGACTGCAGTAGTGGTTTCATGTTTATTTGTTTAGAAAGCTTTAAAATAGCAGTTTCCAGTGTAATTACTTGCACTTTCTAAATCCTTAATTTTTTTCCTGTAAATGGGGCTGTGTGAACTAGATGAAGCTAAATGTTTAACCTATTTGAAGAAAGCTTACATAATTTGGATTCAATTTGTTGAAATGTTGAGAAATTTGAAAACTTAGATGCATTTTCTGTGCCTTTAGTCCCTTCCTTTGTGCTTTAATAGAGCCCCTCCTTGCTAGATTTTCTTTCTGCATTTTCTTGACATTTCTCCAAGATAAGAAGGATTAAATCAGCTGTCGAGTCCACATTTCTGATGATGAGCATGTTTGGGATTTTTTAAAATTTTGTTTGTGGATGTATTTTGCATTTTGAACCTTCTCAGTAGCACAGAGCAAGTGGAGTGAAGGTGTGGTGGTACAAAGGTAGGGGAGAGCAGGGTCACTTCTGTGTGCTGTGTTGTTGGTTTATGCCAGATTTAAATGTTTATGAAACTACTCTAGAAAACAGAACAATCTCAAGGACCATGTTCTACACTGATTTTCAAATTTGGAGTTTGTGTTTAATCACAAAAATACTTGTTTTCTAGGTTGTGCCCTCTCCCTTTAAAACAGTGTTTCTTTCAAAAGAGAAGGGTATAGATCCATGAGTCTCAGCATCCTGAGTAAATATTTCCATCAGAATAACTAAAAGTAATTCTGCTTTGGGGAATTTGGCTTCTAGCCACCTACTGTAACTATTTTTAGTTCTGCTTTGGCACAAAAAGAACATGAACCACATGGAACTTGATTATTTTATCCCTTTGCAATGGATTCTACTTTCTGATCTTAATACTGAAACACACACCCAGAAAAAGTATATACTTTAACTGCATATAAAGTATATACTTTAACTGTAGCTTGTTTTCTGTCTTATTGTGAAACGTAGTTGTGGTGCTTTTGGTACTGCATTCTCTTATGCCCATTAGGAATTTGGGATTTCCTAGAATGTGGAAATCCCTGGGTGCATTTTCTGAGTACAGGGTTCCCTAAAGAGAAAATGTTACAGCCACATCAAATGTGTAAATCTATGTCAAAAAGCTGCCCTCAGTTTCTTCCTAAAGCCAGCACAGTGTACACTGTGTGCTTTTGTTACGGTCTGCCTGGTACAAGACAAGCCCAGATTACACAGCACAGAGGTGGAGAGGGCTCTTGGAATAGGATAAGGTCATTGTGTACTCTGTAATCCTGGGAGCAAAAAACCAGAGTATCTGTGGTCAGTTAATTTTTCTCCAATTGTAAATTGGATGACTGGCTAAGAATTTGGGCTGTAGCTTTTAGACATTGAAAAATCCCATAGTTTTGCTTAGGATGCAATCACTACGGACCAGCCGGGTTTCATTCACAGATTAAGGGAATTCTTTTCTGTATCCTTTCTTGCTGGGAATAGTGATCAGTCAACTAAGAGATCTGCAGTTTTAATTCATTCTCATGGAATTGTGTACAGGTTACAGTTAAGTCAGGAAATTACGAGTGTACTTAGTGGGGTTTGAGGTTTTTTTTCCTTCAGAAAGAATCTTTGGAAATGTTTATATTGATTAATAGAGATACTCTTAAATCAGCTTGCTCTTGCAAACAGTAATGATTTCAAAAATGTATAAATTTCCATAATATGTATGTGTTTAAATTTTAATACAATGGCTGTGATGTAACATCGATATTGACAGCTGTAGTCACAGTTTCTGAGGATTTTGCTTTTCTTTCGTTACTGATCTCAGTAGTCTTTCTCTGCTATTCATTTTCTAAGAAATTCTCTCCTAATTAATGAGTATTTGAAAAACTTTGCTGTTGAAAATACAGAATAGAGGTTAATTTGATTCTCAGGACTCTCTGTTACATCCATTTTTACAGCTGTATTATAAAAAATCTAAATTGACGTCCCTCAGCTAATTCGATGCAAGCTGTGAATTATCCTACCTGTACTCACTTATTAAAAAAATATATTCCAACATTTAATTTGATTTTAGATATTTTACCCAATAGGTGCTTTGGTTGTGTAGGCTACACAGATAAGGACTATCATCATGCAGTCTTAGAAGTCATACTTCAGAGTTGGCTTGCTTCCTTTTTGTTTGGACATTTTGCTTAGGACAGAAGTGTTATTTGAAAAATATCCATTTTGAATCTGTTCTTGAGTTTCCATGCTTAGGCATTTCCATTCAGACAGCATAATCAAAAGAATAGAAAATATGTGGGCTTATTTTTTTTTCTTCTCTCTTTCCATTTTGTACCTATGATCAAAGAACTCTCTAAAATTCTCATCTTCTGAAATCTGGAAGAATTATTTGTATTGTTCTTCCAGAATACTTGGATATTAGCGTTCATTATTTGTATCTAGTTCTGAAAAATGTATGTTTTGGGAGCAGTGTCAGGATTTAAAAAAAAAAAAAAGCATCTACTACTGTCCTAAGTTACCACCATAGCTATTTTAGGAAATAGGGCAGATTAGTAAAACTGAATTTCAAGTTCTGAATAATTAGTGTAAATTCTAGTAAGCAAGATTCTTCAGTCATTGTCATTCCTCTGCTTACATCAGATACTTGAGAAGGTCTTTGCTGCAGTGGTGAGGTCAAGATGATGTTGTAGCTGAAAGGAACCCAAGGAAGAGGCTCAGGGGTAGGCAGGGTTTGATAGCCAGCTTCCTTTTCTTTGTGAATGTAAACTCTCTGCTTTCATTTAACACCTAAACCACATTCCCTGGTGCTAGAATCTAGAACAATCTGGTTTTTTAGTAGAAATATAAATAATGACATTTAGTTAATGAGTAGGCGTTATTGTTCTTTTGAGTACTCCACTGTATGACACCTCCTTCCTTGTTCTTTTCTCATATTCAATTAATTTTCAGGAAGAATTAAATAATCTGTTGCTATTTTGTTAATGATGCCCATGAGCATATTTTTAATGATTTGTGAAGCTTTGATGTTAGTTGATGGAAAACTTTGGGCTGGGGAGAAGTCAAAGAGCTTATTAGAAAACAATTTAAGTTACAAAAGCTGTCACCTTAAAATTGAAATCTCACACATTTCATATAATTTATATCATTAATAGGTGAACATTATACCAATTATAGGCAAAGCAGACAGCATTTCTAAAACTGAGCTACAGGAGTTCAAGAGCAAAATAATGAGTGAATTAGTTAGTAATGGCATCCAGATATACCAGTTTCCAACTGATGATGAAACTGTTTCTGAAATTAATACCATCATGAATGTAAGTAAATGACAAAAACATTTATATTTCAGTACTAAAGCATCACTCTCTAATGTTGATTAATGGAATTTCTTTCACCATTGTCTTGAAATTTGTAAGTTTGTATGTCATGAGTTTGTTTGTTTATTTTTCTCTCCTTAAAAAGCTCATATGTTTTGGCTTTTTCCTTCCCTACTTGCAAATCTTCCTGTCCCTTTGTTGTTGATATCACTTGTTTTTTTTTTTTCTGGCTCAGAAACGGAAAAGAGGTTCTCATGCATAAATACTTTTTCTAATTTAATATGTAATTACTATTATGGATAGACATTGACTTTGCCCTTTTCCTCGGCAAAACAGCTTTACATGTTATCTAGATGCCTTGTGTTTCCAGTTTTCTCTGGTCTTTATCACAGCAAGTCTTCTGCCGGCATTTTTTTCTTTTATTTAGTACTTTCATTTGAAATTAGAGCAAATTTTCTCTGGGGATGAAAAAGTCAGATATAATTCTGGCTTATTTTCTATTGTCCTTTCAGATCCTCCCAGGACTAGCTGCCAGCTTCAACTAAGCTTCTGAGGCCAGATGACTTTGTTTTGAGCACTCTGCATTTGTTTATGTGCAAGTGTTTGTAGATGCACATGAGCATGTGTTTGTGTGTACCCAGGTTTGAAAGCAGGGAGCAGGAGCCGGTGTGCTGGAGCGCATGGCTCTGCATCCCAGCCTCTGTTACTTGGCCAGGCAGTGACCGTGTGCAGCTCTTGGTCAGTGACAGGTCCTTCTGCTGTGGGGAGAGGTGGTGGGCTCTTACCTACCCCTTCCATGCTCCGCTCAATGATGTGTTTTCCACTTTATGATTTTTCATGCTTGGTCAGTTGCTGTGGGTCAGCAGGCAGGCAGTCAGCCGTTTGGGCAGCCCACAGCAGTAACCATACAGTGGGTTCCAACCCATGATTGTCACATGACTGTGACTGGGGATATGAACTCTGACTGAATGCGAATTGTGTTCTAGAGCAGCTTTCTGTTTGCTGATGATGCTCTTCCTCATGCAGGATGTTGTTGGCTGCCTTTGCCATTGGGGCAGACCTACTGAATCAGGTCCAACCTGTTGTTTCACCAGGTCGTTGTCCCCACATCTTATTCTGCAAAGTGCCTTTCCAGACAGTCGGCCCTCAGCGTGTGCTGGGGCATGAGTTTGTTCCTCCTGACGTGCAGGGCTTGGCATTGCTCACATTGCCACTTCATGAGATGCCTGTTGGCCCATTTCTCCAGCCTGTCGAGGTTCCTCTGAATTGGCAGCACACCCATCTGGGTCTGTCAACCACTCCTGCTTTTGTTATTGTAGCTTGACTTTTGTATCAGTAGATAGTGACTAGCTACTGATCTCTTCAGAGAGGTTTTTGGTTTGAAATCACCTGTTGGACTTTCCTGAAGTGGTGTTTTTCCCCCTAATTTATTTCTGAAGTGTTTTTCAGTTGTGGCATAAGAATGAGATAAGAATTGAGAGATAAGACTTTATTGGTATGACTCTTACAGGGTCATTTGCCTTTTGCTGTAGTAGGAAGCACGGAAAAGGTGAATATTGGAAACAAAATGGTGAGAGCTCGTCAGTACCCTTGGGGCATTGTAAAAGGTAAATGAATTCTCAAAGATGTTTTTATGAGATTTTTGCTGTTGTTGCTGAAGTGTAAAATTCACCAGTAATACAAGGGCTGGTCCACTGATGCCATGCTGATTGTATTTTGGATCAACAGCTTAAGAAGTTTAGCAATTAATATTTGAGGTGTGCACTAACTGGTAGTTTTATCAACACTGATACATCCTTGGAATCAAGGTGTGAGATGGTGTATGTAGTATTTGGGTAGGGTAGTATGGTGACTGTTCCTCTAGCATTACCAAATTTCAAACTTTATGATTGTCAGTAAAGAAGGGCGTAAAAAAAAAGAAATGTGGTGTTGTTCAGCTCAAACAGGAAATCAGGGCACATTGAAACATGTTCACCAGTATTTACGGTTCTTCAGTACTTCAGCGTTGTATGTAAGAAATTACAAGGAAGTATAAGCGGTGTAATAAACAATGCTATACCTTTTTCTAGAAGTATGTTTAGTAAACAAAATAAATGAATCTCAGTGCTGTTTGAAATGTATTTTAACTATTTTGCTACTCATGCATAGTAATACAATCTTTTTCTTTTTACTGATTAGTGGAAAATGAGAACCACTGTGACACTGTAAAGCTTCGCAAGATGCTTTGCACAAATATGGAAGACTTAAGAGAGAAGACTCATACACAACATTATGAGTTGTACAGACGCTGCAGACTGGAAGAGATGGGTTTCAGAGACATTGACCCCAAGACCAAACCAGTCAGGTAAAGGACTTCATGTGCAGCACTTGCTTTCAGCATCCATTCACTTCACATTTGACTGTATCAACCCAATACAGAGCAGTGTTCATACACAAAATAGGTTTTCTATGAGGGAAAGAAGAGTTTGGGTTTTTTTAAATCAAAGGATGTAGCTGTTCATTCAGTTATCTTCATGGAGAAGTATGTGGGATTAAGTGAGCATTGATTTAAAGACATGCAAGTGAGATGTATTTTGAAATCTTTCTCTTTTATTATAAACCTGGAGATTTTAATTTTTGTCAGGAAAAATGTCTGTTTTCTTCAGGTACATGTACTTTATTACTTTTTTAATCATTTTGTAATTGGTCAGAATCCCGATGGGGAAGAACTGATGTATCAGGAGTTGTTCATGGTTTTACTGAAGTGCTATGGTTGCGTAGGTGGGAAATACTGACTTAAACCAGGCATGAAAACCGAATAATACTTTGTATTAAGAACAGTTTCTAATGATTGGAACCTACTGGTTTGTTTATTTCTTGTTTTACTTAGTGATCAGAGTGTCTTTACTCATTCTGTTCTGGTAAAAATAAATGTCTTCCGTCCAAACAGTTGGTTTTAGTGGCTTAAATTCTTTGCTTTCACCTGTTCTTTGCACAGAAGTTTTAAGTAAGTCTCAGTTACTGTAACTTGTAGAAATGGAGCAGCATTTCTTTCACTTTGACTAGGTCTAGTTTATATATTGTTCAAACAATAAAAATTAAGTAAGATTAATGTGGCCAAGGAAAATGCTGGATGTGGACAGTTTTTAATGAAGTCTTAATGTCAAGGGTCATGTGCAGATTGGTTCATTTAGGTGATGTTGACCTGTCCATGACTCTCAGTAATCTCTTGAATATTCTCTTGACTTAATAAGAAAGGAATACTTCCTTTTCATAGAGAACCAAAGGTGAAAGAGGTTTAAAACCAACTGAAATTAACCATAGACTTCTATTTGTTTTAGATTTAAGAACATAGGTTAACAGGTAATGTCTCATTATCTTTGTCCAGGGGAAGCTTTTTTTAGAGATATGTTCATGGCAATATTGACTGCAGTACCTTTGGCTTTTCTGAACTTGAATGTCACAATGTACAGCCATCTCAAGAAAGAAGTTAAATTATAAAAAGTATCATCCACAGATGTATTTTCTTCCATGAACTTAAGAATTCTCTTTGTAAAACCCCTACACAGTTTGATTTTACTAATGGTCTAAAATGGCAGGTTTGTATCAGAATGTGCTGGTATTTTACACTTCAGAAGCTGGTTTAGAAGTTGTTTACTTCATGGATGTACAGAAGAGCTGCGATCCCTCTGATGTGTAGTTTTTATGTATGGCCCGCTAAATGCCAGGTTTGTTGAGAGATTTTTGGCAAGAAAGTATGTTTACTAATTAGTTTTGGTAAACTGGATCTATTGAAAATGTCATTTATTTGGAAGGATGAGAATAGATATTCCACAGGACTCCAGAAAACAAATATTTTCACAGGTTTACTGCAAGAGGAAGAGAAAAGCAGGACTAGGGTGGGTGTGGTTGTCCCTCAGTTGTGTGGCATAGTGAATGACACGGAGGTCTAAAAGAAAAGGCATTTGGTGTTTTGGGAGAGATGTTTTATGATACCATAAAAAAGGAAGAGAATTTAGGGGATCTGTATGCAGTGTAATTAGCAGACACCCATAAGGTGTTTTATAAAGCTACTGAGGAAACCATAAAAAGTGTCATCCTCAGCAGCGTGATAGAAAATGTCTTTTTACTAGAGGAAGTTCAGTGCTTCCTGTTTTGATGACTTGTACATTTAAATATCTTTCAGAATAGGGACTACCCAGTTGTTCTAGGCAAAAATGTGTTATTAAATTGTCATCCTCTTTGTCCTTAAAGATGTTTACAATATATACAGGTGGATTCTAAGAGCTGTAGTTTTAAAGTCAAATTAATATTGCATAACAGTATATGCCTGATGATTAAAATTTTATGCTGCTTGTGTAAATAATGATCAAAATGCATGCCGAGAAGTCATATTTTGTGCCTCTGATGTAGCTGTCTACGTATTAAATTTGATAATCCACATTGGGTTATTTGATGTAAATTTAGAAAACTTTTGCTAGACTTGAGTAATTGGCTATCTGTAGCATTTGGACATCAACACTTGAGACACTTTTAGCACGTTGTGAAGCTGCCTGTGACATTCCTCTACCACTCTTTCGGATTTAGAAGTACCGCAGTAGTTTATTCATCCAAATTTGTAAGCCACTACAAAGCAAACCTAGTAATTCTTGGGTGTTCAGCTACCTTGTGAAGTAGGTTGTGGGCAAACATCTGTAAAGGCTTTCACTCACATGTGAAAAAACACATTGGCAAGCTTTATTTTTTATGGGAGATGCAGAAAGAGATGGATTCAGCACACAACAGAAAAATATGTTTGCATCTTTATTGCTAGGTATGAGAAGGGATAATAAAGGTAGTAACAGTCTGAAATGACTGTTTTGTGTACACTTTTAAAATACCTATTCCCTATATTTTCCTATATTTTTTGTGAAGCTGTTTCATAATAGCTTTTTAATTTATTTATTTGCAATTACATTCTAAGAATGAAGTAATGAAGTCAGTGGATAGCAGAGTATATGTGTTATGCATTTTATCTGTTGTATTTTTTTTTTTTTACTGCTTAAAATTGGGATTTGCCTATCTTTGTTGTTGAAAAGTAAAGATAAGCTATGTTTTGATTGTGGATGATCTAGTACTGCCTTTTCCATGGTCCAGTTATGTCCATTTGGAACATGAATTCCTACTTTCAGGTCATTCTCGGTGAGAGATATTTGCTGAGACATTTTGAATAGAAAAATTGGGAATAGTTGAAAACGTAAATCTGGACATGAAGAGCACTTCCAGTGAAGCAAACTTCTAAATATATTCACACACATAGTTAGGTTAGGTGTTTGGATGGAAGAAGATTAGTAGTGTTTTGAAGCTGGACATTTTGTTAAGTTCATTTTTGGATCTAAGCTAAGTTGGTGTCCACAGGACTTTCTTGATTTAAAAGAAGAAAACTGATAGACCAGGGACTGTTGAAAAAAGCTGAGAATTATATTCAGCCTGTGTGCTTGCATTTAGATTCTCTGTTAATCATTCTCTGGTTAATTGTTTTTCTGTCATCATAATTACAATTGTTTCTTCATCATAATTGCAATTAAGCATAATTGTAACATAAGCAGCTTGTTTGCTCAGAATGTGAGGAATCATATATTCCATGCTTTATTCCTCCCTGAAACTGGGATATTCAGACCTTGCTGTTCTTGAACTTGTTTATATTTCAGTCTGTTTTGAAGATGATGATAGAAAAGCAGGAAGGATTCAGTAATACGAATAAAGTTTATGCGTAGAGAAAGGTTAATATGACTCTCGTTGTCTTTTCTAAGAAAAGAAACCTAATATCTGAAAGGCTATTAGATGTTTTTCTTTAGAAGTCACTTGGGAATGGAGTTCATCTGACCAGCTGCAGACCTTTGCATTTGAGCTCAATATTTTAACTGTCTTAAGGAGAGATTGAACTACATCCAAAATACCTATTTTTAATGCCTGCACTGGGAAAACGGTAATTATCTACATCTACCACAGCCTTAGTGTTGCTTAATATCAACTTAGGTAGTTATGTAGTCAAGGCATCATGCTAGAAATACCTGCCAGTAGTTAACCTTTAATTTTTTTTATTTGGTTTTTGCTTGGTTTGGTTGTTTTGTGGGTTTGTTTGTTTTGGTTTTGTGTGTTTGTTTGTTTGGAGTTTTTGGTTTTCTTTGTTTTGGTTTTTTAGTTTTTCTGATATACCTTAATTGATAGTCAAATGTTATGCAAGAAGTTACTTTCAAATTTGAAAGCTTGAAAAAATTTAAATACTTGTGTTCAAAGTGCACAAACATTGTGTGAATTCAATTCAGAGTCTTTATTTATGAACATAACGTGTTTGATTTGCATCTTTAGGCTTCCATGCTTTCAGTCTTATGCAGACAGAGAAACTATATGCCACAGCTATGCTTCTTCAGAAAGGTATGTGGTAGTGTGGGTATGTGTGATTAGTTTAGACTTTCTTCACAATCCCTTCCTCCAAAACCTTAATAAGAATGCATTATTTAAATAATTAGCTATAACATTTAGATTTTTCAAGTGTCTTTGTACAGAGTATAAAATTCTGGAGGTCTAACCCAGAAGAATGAGAGAACCTATGAATTTGTTTTTCATAATGTTCTAAATGAGAAACAGTGAAACCAGTCCTCAGATAAACTGAAAAGTGTTGTACTGTGAGTAATGGATGCAGTAATGCTGAAAGGATTGGCTTAAGATTTGGTGAATTATTTCCCCCTCCTCCCCAAACCTCCTAAAACCAAACAGTGTTTGGGTCATTATGGTGCTGATCTCCCAAATGCAGAAGAGAAAATGTTTTTCTAGTTTTGTCTTTGTGATTTCCAGAACAATTCAGTCCAGGGAGAGGGGGCATTCAGTGATTGCAGCATGTAAGCTCAGTCTAGCACTTGCTCTAGCAGCTGTACTGCACCCAAAGGCAGCATGTTTGCTGGCAGAACTGACACTGGGTGCAAAAGTGTGTCTGGTGTGAGACTGCTGGCACTTGAAAAAGCTGTGCTGTAGCTTTATTATCTAAACTTAAGGATTCCATGAATTAATGTATCTGTATGAAAACCATGCCCCCATGCCATGTGATAGATAGAATTTAGAATTTCAAGATGACCCAATTTACTTCACAGCTGGTTTTAAAAAAAACAAATAAAAAAACAAAGGGGTGATTGTTCTGAATTAATTTTGTTGCTGTGTAGTGCTCAAATAAGATAGAATAGGAAGAGCACTCTGACCTTGATAACTTAAAAACATTGTTTGCATGTGCAATTTCAAGATGATTCTTTTCTCTCTTTAGATGATATTTTGAATACAAATAAGAAACTTTAGGACTGTGAAATTGCCCAGTCATCATAAATTTAAATATCGAAGAGAGCAGTTGAAGCTTACTGTTGCTCTAAATAATTAACTTTTTAAATGCCCTTTTTAGTAAGTCTTTCCATTTATAAACTTTTTAAATAGAAACAGTAAAAGATAAGACAAAACCTGATACATAAGTATGGATGTATATTAAAAATATAAAGCAAAATTAAATATTTTATACACATACCTATTTATTTTACGCCAGAGTGGAAGGCATGAGATACCTGGCTAACTGATGTTAGCTGAGAAGGGCTGACTAGTTAGTGCTCATGAAGTGTTAGAAGAGATCAGTGGTGTAACAGAAACAAAGAGCTTGAACATTATCCATGTTTTGATCTGTTCATAAGCCCTGTGTCCTAGAAGATAATGGGCAGGTGCTTTTGAGTTTCTAATAACCATCAGCACAGCTATGATCTACCAGTTCTGCCTCTCTGGAATCCTGTGACTCAGAAGTTTGTGGTAAAAGTTTTGATGGAAGAATTTGTGTCATTAAGCAGTTTTGTTTTTCAAAGGCAGTGTGCACTTTGGTGTATCAGATACATCTGTGTCCAAGCTCCATTCATTTTTCCTTGAAAAGCTGAACACTTTCTGCCAGCACTGGGTGATAGCAGTGGGTACTATAGACCTCACACCTCTAGTAGTTTATTTGTATGAATAAATTACCAGTGTCTTTTAATTTGACATAATATGCTTTGCCACAAAAGAAGTATCTCAATTTCAAGTGCCTGTTGTTGGGACAAAAAACATTATCTTGTGTACTAAAAGGAAAGGGAGGCATAGATTTAAAAGTAAAGAGATGTTTTAGTTACTTGCTGATTTGTTCTGCTGCCAGGTATTTACTCGATGATCTGAACTAATTTACACCTCCTGTATAATTTCAAATATAAGTATGCATGTATGCAGTGTATTTGCTTCTGAGAGAGAGGATTCAGGAAAAACCAAACAGTCTTGAGGTTTTGACTAATGCACGTTGGAAAGTAACCCTGTCTTTTAAATGTTGAACTACTCAGGAAATTGTTTTTATTCTATATTAATATAACTGCCCTATTTAAATTTTGACATTACATAAAGAGGGTGCTATATATTTTGAAGATCCTGTTATTGTCTTCAATTTTCATACAGGAGTAATAATTTTTTTAGTTGTGTTAATGTTCTATATTAATTGCTTTTTTAAATTCCTACTTTAAGACTGAGGTTTTACAATGTGGAAGTTCTGGGGGATTTTTCTGGCGATTTCAGTGTTCCATTAGTAAGCAGCTTAAAGGAGAAACTTATGCATGCTGGAGTCAGCAAGGTATAACTCAAGTCTTTAGAACGTTAGATGCCTATAAGTGCTGTATTTACTTTGAAATGTAAATTGCCCAGGAGCAGTTAGCATAAATAATTTTACTTGGGGTTGTTTACGTTAATAAAAAAATAGAAATATAAGATGCTTGCTTCTGTTCAGGTTTGTTTATGAATTTTTATGTGGGAAGCTGTAGAAGTTAATATTTCAGATGAATATTAATTGTTCAAATGATTTTCTAGATTGTTGGGTTTCCACACTGAATAAAGCAACATGCTGGAAACTTGCTTGTTTTTGGACTTCAGTCTGCAGGAAGCCTATGAGGCAAAGAGGCATAAGTTCTACCTTGAACTGCAAAGAAAAGAAGAGGAGATGAAACAAGAATTTGTGCAGAGAGTGAAGGAGAAAGCAGCAGTGTTGAAAGAGGCAGAGCAAAAGGTAAGCATGCCTTTCTATATTGTTTGCTGAGCTTTGGAACAGTTAAGTTCTTAACAGAATCACCGGTTAATGTTTATAATTTCCTAATATTTTGAAGACAGTAACGCTTTAAATCAAAAGCAGATTGATTACACAGATTGATTGGTTTAGCAGATTGATTAGACACAAGCAAACAAGAGAATATGACTTAGGAGGAGCAGCTGAGGGATTGATTAGCTTGAAGTAAAGGAGGCTTAGGGGAGACTTCATTGCTCTTTAGAACTACCTGAAAAGAGGTTGTAGTGAAATGGGGATTGGTCTTTTCTGCCAGGTGACAAGATGAGAGAAACTGGCCTCAGGTTGTGTCAGGGGAGGTTTAGACTGGATATTAGGAAAAATGTCTTGACCGAAGGGCTTGTTGAGCACTGGAACAGGCTTCCCAGGGCAGTGGTGGAGTCACTGTCCCTGGAGGTGTTTAAAAGCCCTGTAGGTGTGCCACTTGGGGGGCACGGTTTAGTGGTGGACTTGGCATTACTGGGTTAATGGTTGGACTCGGTTTTAAGGGTCTTTTTCAGCGTAAATGATTATATCATTCTATAAATGGCATTTTTTTTTTTTTTTGGAAGGAACAAGCTTACAGTCTAATGGCTTTGGTGGACAGCGGGGCCAAATCTATAGAGTAGGAGTTGATATGGTGAAGTAAAAGAGTGATGAATGTAATAACTGTGTTTCTTTGTCTTCTCTAGCAGTATACTGAGAAACATTGGTAAGTTATAGCAGCACACTGGGTACTTTTCATGCATAGGTTGCTCTGTAAAAACCAGGATTTTAGGAAAAAATGCCATGGGCTATATATGTTTTTATGACATCCAGATTCAGTTATTAAATCTAAGCTAACCTTCAGATTGAGAAGTTTGAAAGTGTAGTAGTTTTGTTGGTCCAGGTTGGTTCAGGTTTTAAAGTCTCAGCTGTTCCCAGCTGCCTTAAGACTATTGGGAGATATGGAATATTTCTTTACTATGTTGTTGAAGATTTAGTCCTGTCAAGCTGGACTAGCAAAACAGGATCTTCTCATCTACCTTCTGCCAGACTCTATCATGGCCATGCGTATTTATATTCAAATACAGGTTTAATTGAAATTGGAAACCTGTGTATTTTTATTAATGTTCTTTTCTGTACATTAGTTTCCCCAGCAAAGCTGTAGCAGTTTTTTTTGAGGTGTTCAGGTGCATGTTTTAAATAAGAAGGCTTAATATTTGTTTTCTAAGCCTGTTAAGATCTCCATGCTACTTGTGGAGAAAAAAGATCAGATTCAGTCCTTCTCATATGAAGCTGTCCAACTGGAAGAATACTTGGCCATGTTCAAAGTAGGTTCAGCAAGGTTTTACACAATATCTGTGATGCTCTTCGATATTTTCCTTCTTTGATTTATATGAGGTGGTTTTTGAATTCTGCATATTGCAATTGAATTACAGATATTAGTTTTCCAAGTTCCTGATATGGGAAAGGGATCATGCAGTCACTCCTAAAGAATATTTGTCATATCTATCGTCTTGCTGCTCAATTGCCAAGAAGGGTGTGTGTGTACCTGGAAACTAAAGAAAACCAGGAATTTTTGTTGTACTGAAGATTGCTTTCACATCCTTCGTTAGAGAAAACTTGTAGGTGCTCCTATAAAATCTGAGAGCTCTACTGGGTAGAACAGGAATACTTTTATATTTATAGTCCTAGTTATTTCTTCTTTTTTTGCAAAAGAGGGAAATAAATCTCTCTGATATCTGTACCAGTGTAGCTGCACTCAGAGTTACACCCATACAAATTAATATAGAAGCAGGATTCTAGATTTAGTGTGTGGGAAGATGGGAGATGAGGAAGAATGGAGTGAAGTAGCCTTTGGTTATCGTGCATAACTTCACAGTAGGTTTAAACTGGTTAAAATATGTCTGGTGATTAAAATGCATTAATATGTCAAAAGAACAATCAGAGAACAATTACTGCAGAATAGTTAACTTCTTACAGCCCACCAGTAACTCCCTAACCAGACTTAACTCTATGTCTGTAGCTACTGATATTTAAATATGATTAATATACATATTAAAATTATATATATATACTTGAAAATACATATCCATGTAACTAAAGTATGTATGATTCCTTGCCCATTTGATTTTGGTGAAGTATATTCTACTTGACAAATCCTGATTTAATCTGTCTGTTGGTTGTTGTTCCATATCTAAAGGCCTCCTTATTTTTGATATAACAAAGATATAGCAAAATGTAGTAGGAAACCTAGTACTCACTTACTGCCTTCCATGTTCTCCACCTGTACTTAGTGTATTAGCCCAGCTTTGTGAGAACAGTATGATAGGAATGATTATTTTTATGGTTTGCTATTTTTTTTAGTCATAACAATTTGGGGAAATAACTGCAATTTCTTAGGACTACAAACAGCAGTTAAGGTAGGTTTTGCTGCTAATTTACAGACGGGTTTTATGTTGTGATATCACCACCTTGTGTTACTAGCTGGAAGCGTTATTTGTGCCTTCTTAAAATAGGTACAGACTAAATCTGAATGTCTTGCGCTAATGCATCAAGAAGAGGAACTGAAATTAAAGGAAAAGAAAGAAGTTCTGGAAGATGAAATAGCTGAGTTTATTGAGAAGAAAGCTACAGCTGAATTGCTCCAATCACAAGTGCTCATCTCTACCCCTGTTGTTAATTTGAATAGACAGGGACTGCAGAAAGTGAGTGCTGATGCTGGTCATCAGAGGTAGCAATAAAAAAAATCTTCACATTCACTTTTATAACTCAAAATTCAGTAATCTTTTAGAAAAGTCAGAAACTTGCACCTATTCTGTTGTGTGATAAGAAGATATAAGTGTGTAAAATATTGTCATGCTTGGATTTACTTTTAGAGTAATTGCTGTATGTTCTATGAACTTTTTTTTTCTTTTTTTCCATGAAAGAACCAAGATTTTCAACTTGAACTCCAATGCTTTGATGTCAGAGATGAAGGAATTATGAATGTTCAAGAACAGAGCGAAAGGGAAAGTGAGGAGGAGGAGGAGTTAGAGAGAGAAATTCACCTAGGGAATTCCAGAAATAGTATTTGATTGCAGCACTCAACGCTTTGAATGTAGAGTATGTTAGTTTTATGAAGTGATCTGATTGCTGTTGTCTCATAATATTACATGTGTCTTCCTAATACAGATTTTTTAGAGAAGAGGTTGATAAAACTGGCTGTGAAATTACACAGAGTGCAGAATATGACCCGATAAAGATTTCACTTCCTTCTCTTCCACCCACTTCTTTTTTTCTCTGCTTCCAAAAGAAAAGCTTGAATAGGTTGTGGAATTTCAGAAATACATTCAAAAGTAGTCTCCAGATTATAACATGCCCAACTTCTTCATATATAAAAATTGAATTAAATGCTCTTATAATAAATTAAACTGATTTAAATGTTTTTCTCCTCCAGAACCAGAAGTCAATTAACTTATTAATTTCTTTTCCTGATAGGTTACAAATTTACTGCAAATGACATTTTGTTAATTAATAACTTACTGCAGTTGAAAGCAGATTTTTTGGTTCTGAATTTATTCATAACTGCTAGATTATGAAGAACTTTTGAAGCTAGGTAGGTGCACATATTTTCACAAATGTGACATTTTTGTGGTGTGTGATAAGAGCCTGCTTATGTTTTTGCCAAAATTTATTGCATTTCAACTACTGTTACTGAGTTCCTTTTCTTAGACTCCTTTTTTTTTCTGGATTTACATATGAAAATGGGATTCTTGGTAACAGAGGTCATTATCTGTGCTACTGTGAGTAACTCCCAACTTCAGAAAATTTTTGGTTTGTTTTCTCTGGTTTGGTTTTATATCTTCAGAGTAAGTTAAGTTTATGTGCTTGTTCTGGTTTTTTAGTTCAAGCTTTCCACAGTACTGATGACAGAAGACACAGTATTGATAATTTCTTTTGAGGAAGCAATGATTCATGGTGCACTTTTGAAGGTATAGGCGTTTCAGTTCCTTATGAAAGGAAGATATCTCTTATTGCTGCGTGCTGCAAAACAAGAATTTTTATGCATGATCTCACATAGAGTGAGGTGATTACTGTCATCACCATGAGTTTTCTTCAAATGGTATGGTTTAGTAGTCTACTAAGTATTATTCAATACAACTGTTGACATATTTGAACCACTTACTGATTTTGCTGACAGATTTTTCTTTATAGGCTTGTATGTATATGCACTGTTCTAGATTTCAGATAGTCTTTCTAATGAAAATTTATTGGAATATTTTTGCAGTGCTGTACTGTTGCATGATAGTTTATTTAATATGGAAAGTACCTGTAACTTTTTGATGCTTATGAGTGTGGTGTTCAGTTACAGCTGAAGCTTTACAAAAACTATTAACTACTAGAGCTGCAGGTTAAAACAAGTTTTAAATGCCTTGTATGTTTTCAGTAGCCATGATAACTAATGGAAAACTATAAGAGGTACAGTTCTCTGAAGTTCTTTTGTGCAACTGTTTGACAATGAAATACTAACTTGACAAAAATAAAATAGATTGGTTTTGCTTAAGAGTTACTCTTGTTCTGCTTTCTGTGCCTCGTGTGTTATTAAAAGGAGTAAGGTTTCATATTTATCTGAAAAAATAAATGTTTTGCATCTGTTTTAAATATCTTAAATCATTCATTGATTGAAAAAAAATAGGTGATTTGTGTTACTGTACCAGGAAGGCAATGAGACTTGTGATTTACTTGTCATACACCACTGTCCTTATCATAGAGTCGTAGAATATTTCAAGTTGGAAGGAAGCCATAGGGAGTTGGAAGGGACCCAGTAAGGTTCATCGACTTCAGCTCTCTGCTCCTTGAAGAGCTACCATTGACTGGACCGTTTGCCTCTGTTTGATTAGAAGCAAGGAATAGGTCCTCCTTAAAGAAGGTAACAGCCAAATGAAAAGAAAAAATATTCTTTTTAGTCATTTGGAAGTGTTACCAGGTGATCTTGAGCATAATGTAATAATAATTGAGTGATGTGTATTGTCAGCACTCAGTTATCCCTGTGTGAGTTATCACTGCTGCTGATATTAGTTAGCTCAAGCACAGCTCTTCATTAGCGTTAAAAAAACTGTATCCAGTGACAGATTTAGCTGTCTCTAGTCTGGCAATTTTGTTGAAGACAAAGACTGAGATAGTTAAGTACTGTTTGACCTAGATATCTCTGTGCCTGGCCAGCACTAGAGGAGGTGCTGTGCTTTGACAGCTGGAAACCACGAATAGGACTGTATGGTACCACATGTCTTGGTCAGATGGGTTTATTTCAGTTGCATGTGCTGGCCCTGCAGGACTTAGCAGCAAACAAAACTGGTGCAGGCACCTGTGCAGGTGTTTGGAACAGGTGACAATTAAAGGGAGTTTGTTCAGTTGTAGCACAAAAATGGCACAGCACAAAATGAAAGAGCTGGCGGGTTTCTCTTTCTGTTTTTCCTTGATACTCATTTAAACAGTGGAGAGTCATACGTAAGTGTGGGAAATTCCACTGTTGTTTTGTTTAAGTTTGCCTAAAGGTGAGATATCAGGTAAGCACACAAGTGCACATTACAACCTGACAGTCAAATGCAGTTCAAAGAATTATAAAGGAGCAACTAACCATATCGTGTGAAAGTGGAGAATCAGTAGTGGTGGTAAATAAAAATGTATATAGCTCCTTGTAGTTTATCTTGGCCATGTGCTTTTTTCCTGCAGGTGAAGTGGTTTCAGGACCTTTATTAAGGTTTCTTTATTGTTATGGTACCTTCTCCATGTGGCTATTGCATAATTGTTTTCAGCCTTTACAAACCTGAAGGTTTTATTTTTTTAGATACTTTCCATAGGTTATTTTCCATATATATTTTGTATGATATTCTTAACCATATCTTTGAAGTTACTATGCCCAGTAACAAGACACAGCTAGGATTCTTAAGTAGTTTTATCTTAAATCTGGCTGACAGGTCAGGCTCAAAGAGCTATAACATGAAGCTGGCAGCCAGTCACCCCAAGGCTCTGTTTTAGGGTCAGTGCTCTTTGATGTTTTAATAAGTGATCTGGGTGCAGGAATTGAATGTACATCAAGGAAGTTTGCTGATGATACTAAATTAGGGGGAAGCTGTGGAATCCCTCTGAGGTAGAGAGGCCTTACAGAGAGGTCAGGATAGGCTAGAGAGCTGAGCAATCCCCGACCAATTGAAATCTAACAAGAGCGGGTACCAGAGGTTCAGAAGTTCAGACTGGACTTTAGAAAAAGACTTTTCACTGGGAGGATGGTAGATCACTGAACACCCTGAGACAGTGGTTACAGCATCAAGCCTGTCAGAGTTCAAGGGGTATCTGGAATATGCTCGTAGTCATATGGTTTAGTTTTAAGTACACCTGTGAGGAGCATAGAGTTGTGCTTGATCCTTATGGGTTCCTTTCAGTTTGAGATATTCTGTGATTTTAACTTATGGTGACACAAGCATCTTTCGTAGTAGCAGCAATATAATATTTTATAGAAGTGAAAATACTCAAAAATGAGTAATTTTCCAAGACCTTTGTGAAGGCTTGTGTAATTCACATCCAGCGTATCACCGTGGAAAGTAATTTAGTGTAATTCTTGGACAGGTAAAATACCTAAATGGATTTTTATGAGGTACTGAGGCATCTACTTCTCCATGTTTTCTTTAATATATGTATTTTTTAAAATCCAGGCCCTAGCATCAAGGCAGTAAAACAGTGATAGCTAAGTATAGACACTTGCAGGATTTTAAACCAGAAAAAAAAAAGTCGTCAACAAGATTTTCACTAGGGTGCGCTCGAAGGACGTAGTTTTCACTTTGGGGAAGGGACTGTGGCACCGAGCAACTGTGTCACTGGCTCTGAAGAGCCCCCTCTAGTTGAACCTGCTTTTACCACGGGGTTTGGAGGCTCCAGAGGCCCCTTCCAACATGAACTGTTCTGTGATTCTGAAACGCATTTATCATGAACAATTTTTTTCCCAAATACGAAGAGAATAATAATTTCTGTAGAAACAAAGCTGTAAAGCGTGGAAAGCAGTATAAAAGTAAGTGTAGTGAGAGCATCTGAGCTGACGTGGTTGATTACCTGCTAGGGCATTAAAATGCTGGAATCAGTCTTCGTAATTTGAAAATTTATGAGTACAATTGCTCCTCCAAGAAATTGCTCTGATTCTGAGCCAAAATCTTTTAAAATTGCTTCTTAGAAATGTGCGTGAAAATACCCTGTTTTTACTGTTGGGAAGTACTAGTGAGATGCGTCAGGATGTTTTCCGGGTTATCATCCTGCGAGTCATAGGCTTTCTGAAAAAGAGTGTTATGGAGCTGCACAAATGTCTTTTGGTATCAAGTCTCTAAGTATGTCTTTATTTTGGGGTACTTGTACTTGTGATCATTAAGTAGTAATCTCTCGGCAGTTTTATATATCAGAGTTTCTTAGTGTAAAACTAATGGTTTCAGAATTAAATTCTGACTTACGACAGAAATTTGCCTTTCTCTGATTTTCATATCCAAGTGTGAAGGATTTTATTATCTTCCTATTCACATATACAAACCCATACATTTTTTATAACTGTACATAAAGAGGTGTGTCTCGCTCCTGCTGGTGTGTATGTAGATAGATATATAGATCACTCACCAGTGCCACAGTTAGCTAAGAGTGGTCCCCAGGCTGTGTGATATGTTCAAGAGACTATTTTAGTGCTTAACACTTGGTCTGGATGCCTGGCTGCAGTTCCTGCATTCCCTTGTGCTGGGAGGAGGAAATCTTTGCTCCCCCACTAGTCTGCATACATTTGGAGGGGCAGATCCTCCCCAGTGAGAAGAGACTGCAAGACAGAGTTCGAGTTCTCTGCACCCCTAAGATTTTACCTGTTACCCTCACAGAGTGGAAATGTGGAGCTACTCCTTCCTCCTCAGGGAGATGTTAACTCCTTTCCCCAAAGTTTGGAACAGTCAGACTGCTAGTCATCACTGCTTCGGAGAGAAGAGAAAATAAGTGGCATGTTTGGAAAGAGGATAAGAAGGTGCTGGTGTTTGCGTAGCTGTTTTTAATGGCTTCCACTTATGGCTGTTTTGCTGAGATGGGGTTTATTTGGTAAGTTTGCAGAAAGCCAGAGGTGGAGTTCCCTTCCCCGTGCTCTGGCAGTGTGAAGATGTTTGGTCCTTTTAGCCTTCTGGGAAAACACAGGGATCCCGGTGCATTTTGGTATATCCAGCTGCCAAGGTGTGCAAGCAACCAGAGAGATGAGACACACAGAACTCTGTTGCAGCCTTTCCTCAAATGTTTGCTAGCCTTATGTCACTTCACGGGGTGGGACAGGACTCATTTGACTTGCAGGCTCCAGTGAAAATCTGTACTGGCTGCCATCTAGAAACATATCAGGCAGTACTGATGCAGAGGAATACAAAATACCAGTGCTGTTTTATGACTATGTTTGCAGTAGGTGAATGAATCCAAGCTTTATCCCATGGTTAAATCAATATATGCCTCTAATAATTTAAAATGTGTAAATGCACAATGCAAATACCTATATTTAAGACATAATTCCACTGTCTGTTGTGATGGTGTTTAAGACTGGCATGTGTGTTTTGTCTCCAAAGTTACAGAAGTTCTTTTTGCCTACATTAGCATCTCAAGGGGGAAGAAAAATCTTAGGCAAGTTGAGTATCTTCTGACTGCTTCTCAATCTTCCATGTATTTATTCTCTCAAAATGCATTAAGTTGAAAGATACTGCATTGGAAAATGAGACCCACAGGAGGTAGAGCTCAGATTTTTAAGCGTATTTAGGTTTGGGGTTTTTTAACTTGCACTCACACAGGGAAATTGAGCTGTGGAAGTAAATCCTTATAGTTTTTAATATGTAGTTACAATCCCATAGCAAACCTGTGGACTAAGTACTTGTCCTGACATCCTTTGCTGGTACTAAGCACAGGTCTGTGCTCCCCAGACTTGTACATAGTTCTCAATCCTGCTGTTGTTTATACTGATAAATAAAACAGAGGAGCTTTTGTGGAGAGTGATCTACGCAAGGAGGAGGATGCATTCTGAATTCGAACTTCTTTGGTTTAGGTTTGCAGGA